GTCTCTCCAATTCTAGGGCCGTTGCCGGCAGGCTCTCAGACGGTCCCGGACAAGTCTTACTGCTACAGACTGCCTGGCTAGAGCAGTTCTGGCAAGGCTTCGATAAAGGCTGCGCCATCAGTCTCAGGACCTGTGAGTAGCATAGATGACTCCGTCATCTCGCAGGCAGCTAGCGACATCTGATGAATGGACATTGCGCAGTTGCAACCAGAGAGTCGGCAGCGCTTTTAGGGTTCAAAAGTTTACAGGCTTTGAGGCCTGGGGTTTAGGGCATGCCGCCATAGGAATTGCAGAAACAAGCCAGTGGATCCACAATACCGAAGCTGTCTATCCTGAATGAGCCACAAAATCCCCTAGAAACTCAAACTAGTCGATAAACCCAACTGGACCGAAGGCAATGGAAACCCACAGGTGACCAAAATCAAGAGCCAAACCTGACAGGCATGCATGCAGCCCAAAACCCCAATCCACACCTCAAACCTTGAAACCCCAACTGCAATCCCGGATTCCATGCCTCCGCTCTGGACACACGCAAGCAAGTCCTGGAGTGGCCGGGGGGAAGGACCGCGCATCTCAGGGGGTGCCTCACTCCCGAACCTGAAAAACGCTAACCGTCGCAACAGCTGCCAATCTCAAGTTCAGAGCCGGGAAGAAGCGGGCTTGGGTGGACCCGACACTGCCACGGGAGACTGCGGAGAGTGAATGGCTGCTTGTCAGACTGTGGCTTCCGACTGACTGGGGGTCTTTTGTTTAGCTATACGTCATGCTCCCCAAACGCTAGACTCTCAGTACACTCTAGACTGCTTGGGGTTTAGGACCCTGCTGCTCGGGCTGTGTGGCTCGGGGCTTCGGCGATACGGGGCAGGACAACGACGACCTTCCCGTCAACTCCTGGACTGGCAAGTCGGGGGCGGAGACGATGCGTTAAGAATGCAGATGTCTGACGGCTTCGACAACAGGACACTCCAATGAAATCCTCGAACCCACGAACCTACATCCTAGATCTGTACATCCTGGTTGCTCATCTCGTCGAAGCGCGGGCAAAGCGCCCACCGAGTTTTCTATGGCAAGGGCAGGACTTACTTGAGCTTAGTATGTGCACTTGCGGCTTCCATCAGGCTTCCAAGGTCGAGGCTTAAGGGTGGTACTCTCTTTGGGGTTCTGAAAATTTGCGAAGGGTGATGAAGAAGAGGAAGAAGAAGATGATGATGATGATTATGATGATGATGAGGATGAGGCTGATGGTGATGATCATCATCATCTTGATGCTGGTGCCGCCGATTCTGCTGATGAGGCGGTGATGATGAAGATGGGTGACCCCGAGGTCAGCGGTCTCCCAGACTTTGAGCTGGAGAATGTCTTACGATGAAGATGAGGATGAAGATGCGGATGAAGATTAGGATGAAGATGAGGATGAAGATGATGATGATGATGGTGATGACGATGACGATGACGATGACGATGACGACGACGACAACGACGACGACGACGCCGGCGGCGGTGGTGGTGGCGGTGGCGCTGGTGGTGCTGGTGGTGGTGGTGGTGGTGGTGGTGGTGGTGGTGGTGGTGGTGGTGGTGGTGGTGGTGGTGGTGGTGGTGGTGGTGGTGGTGGTGGGCTGGCGGTGGCGGTGGCGGCCCTGGCGGCGACAGTGGTGGCGACAGTGGCGGCGGCAGTGGCGGTGGGGGTGGCGGCGACAGTGAGCAGTGGAATGCGTATTAAGATGAAGACAGTGAAGATGAGGATTAGGCTTAAGTCTAAGAGGAGGATGAAGGATGCGGAGGAGGATGATGAGGATGATGAGGACGATGTTGATGGTGTTGAGAAGACGATGATGAAGACGATGATGATGACGATCATGATGAGGGGAGGAGGAGCGGGAGGAGGAGGAGCAGGAGGAGGAGGAGGAGGAGGAGGAGGAGGAGGAGGAGGAGAATTTCACAATCACGGTGATATTGATAAGGTCCGGCCAAAGATCCTGGTAGAGAAAGGCTTGGTGAGGGTTATCTTCTTCTCTGATTCCCACCGCAGCTCCACGAATGTCTGAATGATGCAAAGGCTATGAACCAAAAACAGCGAACCGTTCAGTCTCCTATTTGCCAACAGAAGCTACAAGCTCGAAGTTATGCTTGAGATCCTTGGCCCATGCCCAAAACCCAAAGTGCAACTGGGACTCCACAGCGTGTTGGGTCTGAGGCTCAAGACCCTAATCCTTCGAAACCCAGGCAAGATTCCCGAAATCCAAAACCTGCCTGCCAGTAGATGAAATGTGTCCGAGGAGGATCCCAGTAGGTTGGTCTGCCATTTACTTCTGCTGCTTGCCTCGCGTTGACTAAAAGCTTTCGGCTTCTGTGGGGCCAATGAAAGCACGGCACCCCAAACCCTAAAACGGAAAAAATCCAAAATGCGACGCCTTAGAAGCTCTGTGGGTCTTTCGGATCACGTTTAAAGGACTCTAGCAAACTGGCAGTCCGGTATCCCTGCATGGATGTTGCCGGCTAAACCAGGATTGTCAGATTGAACGGTTGGCGCGTGCCCTAACCACAGCCTTCAGCTAAGACCTTTACTTTCTTAGGTCTTCAACTTCGCACCCCAGGTCGTTTACACCAGTACTCCATGCTAGCTTACATGTTCCTTTGCGATTTCTGCGTGGAGCTTATCAGAATTTCGGTCTAGCCCTTAGCTCAAAAGCTGAAACGCGATCAGTGTAGTCGGACCCAAAACGCACGGGTTTTGCGGCTTCCGGGTTCCAGGGATCTCATGCGGTTCAAAACCTGGGTTTCGAGTTTAGGGCTTGGGCCGTAGGGGTATAGCTGTAGCTTTAACATTCTCGGCACCGGTGGACCCAAACAACCAGTCGACCAGTAGCCCGTGATTTCAGAGGCAGTACCCACAGGCTTACTTTCGAAGCCTAACACCACCTCGTACAGGAACACGAGCTGTAGGCCCTGAGATCTCATCCGCAAACCCTAAGCCTCAGAACCTGAACCTCAATCTGCAGACCGTCAGAAACTCCATGGAAGGAACGTCATAGGCAGGTTTGCATAAATGTGGGTGTCATCCTTGGGTTGATGGTTGGGTCTGTATTTCTGTAGTTTATGCTGTAGACGACCACAGGCGGTTTAGGGTTGGCAGAGTCGTTTTCAGCAAATGTCGACACCCATTGACTCAAGCGTTTACACGCCGGACTCCGGTGAACCCCACATGCTAAAGACTTGATGTAGCTTCACCCTGGAAGCTCTACAAATGAGCTGACCATGACTTGTTTTGTCTTTCGTGGCACCGGGCATCGGATCAAGTCACTCCCGATCGCAAGACTCAACATATTTCCAGATACATCCCAGCACACGAGATCAATGAGGCTCGTCTTCCAGCAAGGCAGAACTTGTCTCCTTCGACTATCCCGGCTATAACTACAATCGTCCATCCATTGTAAAGGTCATTAAGCAACTTCTGGAATGGATCTTTACCGCATAGCACACAGCTCTGCCAGACACGCCACGAAGCGGCCGGATACAAAAGCAATAACTTGCTGATGCGCATGTCGCTAAGCCGCTAAGCGAAGGCGTCGCGACTTCGTGCATGGTTTGTCTGTCCTTGGGCAGAAATCCATCCCAAAACCATGAACTAAATGCTCTGACCTGCACAGGTCTCCAATTCAACCCCGAAGCGGATGCTCCGTGGGACAGCAATGTGGGGCGCTGCTGCTGTACAGAGGTTCTTCAAGATTGCCTTTCTGAAGCATCGCTGCTTGACAAACGTTTGTCAAATCTGCCAGACTCCAAAACGCCCTAAAGCCTCAACCGAACTATCTTGGAGTCCACTGGAGTGCTTGAGGTTGATCGAGAGTCTAGGGCTTGGGTCATACAGATGTGCAGTTCGAGGTTCACTAAGATTGTCTAAGGCTATGTTTGTTCTCCGGTGTCCTGCCCGCGGTTCTGCGACAGTCTGTGCCGTCTTTTGGTCGCGACGGCATGTGCGTGATACAGTAGGAAGGCAGCAAAAGACTTAAGCCATTCCTTGTGAAGTCGCGCCCGGAACCCCAACAATCTGGCCACTGGGTGGGCCAGGATGGACTCGCCTGGAATTTCGCCTAGCACACGCCTTGTCGTGCCAACCTCTGACTCTCAAGCCGACCCGCCAAAATTATTCTCTAAGTCAGAGTTTGGATTTTGGTTTGCGGCTTCGGGATGAATGGATTAAGGCTCATGAATCAGTATCGTTGATTATAAGCTTCAGGCATGTAAGCTTCAGAATCGGGGCTCAGAGTTCAAGATTTGGGAACCAGGACCGGCGTTGAGGGCTCGGGACAGTCGGGTGGGTTTGGGCTCCCAAGACGAGAAAGCGTCCAGCATGACCAAGCAGTGAGGCTCAACACCCGACTCCCCGACTTCGACCCTGAGCACGAAAAGGCGCATTTACACTTTTGGGAGTTGTTTCTGGCCGCCCTCCTCTGCTCTTGCCGTGGAAAATCGTGCTAAAGGACCCAGCGCCGAGACATAGGAGCACTCTTAGGTTCAGTAGGGCTTAGGGTTTGATGTCTCAAAAGCCTGAGGCTAAGGTTTAGACATTAAGGTGCAGCATTTGGATCTTTAGGGCTGAGGGTTTAGAGCTTGGATTTAGGCTCTGATCTAGAGGCGACTGCTCCTCTGACAGCTCTTGGGTTCGGGAGCTAGCTTATTTCGGATCTGGGTGTAGAGTGTACGAGGATCCAGAAAGCAAGTTGAGGTACACGGCATAAAGTTCGGGCCCACAAGTAGCACAGCACAGGGAAGTGCCCGCAACTAGTTCTTGGATCGGCACGCTCCCATGCATCACGAAATGCCGCCAGGCCAGGGCTGCCTGCATTTCCAGAGACAGCCCTGGCCGATGAAGTCACCAACCTAGGTGAGCTCATGCAGGCCCAGGCTGGAGCTTAAGTCCAAGCCTAGTGTTGCCTACAAAAACAGGGGGCGTTTACCCTGGGTTCACGTTGAACCCTTAAACCATACAAAAACACCGGTCAGTCGTTATAGTCTCGGATGGTGGCCGACGAACCCCACTCCGTCCGTTTTCCTTCACGGGCGACGCAGGATTCGGTTTTTCGGCCAGGTTTCGGGTGGTTGGATGAAGCCCTGAGAGTTGGACTTGCGTGAAGCCGGCAGATCCAAGAGCTTTGGAGATAGGGGTAAAGTTCTGGAGGTTAGACAGATAGATAGACAGATGGACAGATGGACAGACACACGGATAGATGGATAGATGCATGGATAGATCTACAGATAGATAGACACACAAATACCAGATAGATACACAGATAATAAAGGTAGGTAGATAGGTAGATAGGTACATAGGTAGATAGATAGGTAGGTAGATAGGTAGGTAGTTAGGCAGACAGATAGGTAGATATGTAGATAGACAGGCAGATTCGATAGATGGATAGATAGATAGATAGATAGGTAGATAGACAGACAGATAGATAGATGGACAGATGGATAGATGGATGGTTAGTAGAAGGAAAGCTGACTACAGGGATAGATGGATGGTGGATGGATAAATGCATAGATAGATCATGAAAAATAGTTATGTAGGCTTCTCACCTTACATACATACATACATACATACATACATACGTACGTACACACATAAGTGCATACGTACGTACGTATGTACGTACGTACATACCTATTCGTACTTGCGTACATGTGCACATGCGTACATGGATACATCAGGACATGTGGACATGCGCACATACGTACATACATACATACATACATACATACATACGTACGTACGTTCATAAAGACAGACAGACAGACAGACAGGCAGGCAGGCAGACAGGCAGGCAGGCAGACAGACAGACAGAGCAGACAGACAGATACAATACATAGACATATGCCATGATGGCATATCTCCCTGGAAAACGGCTTGATCCCGGTCCATCTCGGCCATCTTGTCCAACAACGTACTTCAGCCTGCACTAGGACTTACGAGGGCTTCTGAAGCCCGCAGGGCTCTGCAGCCGTCGGGTCATGGGCTCTGAGGGGCGTCGAAGTCTTGATTTGTGAGAAGCTCTTGAGCCCCGGAAAGTAACGAAGCTTTGATGGCCAAGACACAAAACCCGAAACCGCTGGCCCCCACAAAGCGTGTAGGCTTCAGGGATTCAAGGCTTGCGCTGCGGGCCAGGACAAGCCCCGACCTCGAACCCGAAAGGCCAGCACAGCAAGGCTAAGGGGTTTAAGGCTTAGGCTTTAGGCCAGAGTTTCAGGTGGGGGGATGGGCGCAAGAGAGGGCAATCTCTCCTTAGCCTTAGCAGTTCAGCTCTTGTATCATCTTGTATCACAGAGAAGGAGAATGAGATCGGTCTGCAAATCTACTTCTCTGAACTCCCGTGCACATCTTGCAGCTTCATGGGGCTGTCCAAGCGTACGCAGCTTGATGCAGGAAACTCAAGTCCATCAACCGCAAGGCCTCGGTGCTGACGGCTGGCCCCTCCGCCCAAAAGCTTCGAGCTCTCATCGCCACAACTAGACATGCTTAAACCGTAGACCTGAACCCGAAACCGCGGACTACAAGTACGGAACACCAAAGCTGAAGCCGAAGATCCGAAGGCCTCCTCACGAGGAGCTCTCTCTTCTCCTCATGGCTCAGCTTTCCGTTCAGGTCCACCTAAGGAGCTTGGGGCTGAGGTTTGGGGTTTGGAGTGTTGTAAGGAGGCTGCCAGCGGATATTGTTTTGTTTTGACGGATGGTGTGCAAAACCGGGGGAGCCAGAGACCAGAAGGTTGCGTAGCATGTGTGGTTGGGTCGTATTGTCACGATTATGATGGCTGGGAGCAGTCGGAATAGCAGCAGCAGCAGCAGCAGCAGGAGCCCAGCAGCAAGTAATACTCTGTTCCCCAGTTAACTTCACCCAAAAAAGCCTAGAACTACGTCAAAGGCTGAGAAAGCTCGCCGAGGCCGAGGCGAAGTGCCTGGCCATTCCGTCCCAATCGTTTTCCTTTCCAATACCCGAGCTTTCGTTAAGGAGGGCTTTTGCTGACAGGGCCGTACGCTGCACCAGGTTTGGACTCAGGGTCAAGGTTTTAGAGGTTGGGGCTTCGGGGTCTAGGATTCGGAGCTTAGGATAGTACTTCAGGGCATTGTGGGCTCGCCAGGTATCATTGGGCTTTACTCGTTGAGTACGGGGATTCGGCACTACAGGGGAAGAGGTCTAGGGTCGTTTTGAGTTCTGGTTGTTCGCTTTCTGATCTGGTACTATGGCAGTGTCACGAGATGTCACGAGCTTGTTCGACTCAGCCGTGCAGTTTAGGCTAGGCTGGGCTTCGGCTCATGCCCTGAATCCCAGACCTCAAACCCTGAACTCCAAAGGCACGTGGACGTGCAGCCAGGCATCGAAGAGCATCTGGATGAGCATGCCTTCCTGGTAGCTTCTCAAATTCGATGCTTTCGGTTTCTGCTTCGCAGGTTTAACAGCGCTTAGGCTTTCTGTCTTACGGCTTGAAAAACGCATGGGCTCGTGGTCTTAAGAGAAGAAGCCCCTTTTTTGTGAGTGCTCCCTCCTCGGTATCGCGGAAGATGGTGGCATTGACGGCGGCATACCTCACAAGAGACCAGCTAAAGCTAGACCTGTGGTTCCTTCCTTTTCTCCAGAAGTTTCACGAGGGTAGCTTTTGGCTATCAAAAGTCACTTAACGAGAAAGCCCAAGCCCACATGTCCTTGGAGGTTCAGTTTTTCCTGGGCTGACTTGAGTGACCCGTCTTACGGATGTGCTGTTTACAAATCCTTTAGGGCCTGAGGAATGATCACGAAGCCTAGGCCGACGACTCCTCCCGAGCTTGCGACCCTAAGCCGAAACCCCATCCATATCAAAACAGGATAGAATCGGATAGAGAGTCTTTACTTTGCAGCGCTCTGTCGTGCCTCGTGTTTGTGAACTCTTTCCGACAATTTAGGGTCCTGGCTGTTCTATGTCGAGTTGCCTCTTGCAAAGTATAGCGATACATTGAGTATCTGATTCGAACTTGCGCTAACCACACCTGGACTGGAACGAGCTTCGAGTGGTCATCTGACAAAAGGTTTGCTGCAGAGTTGTTGGGTTTGTACGCCTTGAGTTTAATCCCAGAGGGTCTGGGCACGTGGGCGTCTACCTCTGAATCAGCCGTTCAATAGCTAAAGGCTGCCGATATAGACCGTGAGTAGTAGCGCGATCCTGGGCATGAGGATGCATAGACGGTTCTAAGTAACGTACCCCTACTTCCAAACACAGCCTGTCTCGCAGGCCAGGCGCTTCTCCTTGTGCGCCTCGAAATGCGCCGGCATGTCCGTCCAGTGCGTAGAAGGTGAATGATGGTGCACCACGTGGTAATCCTGCCATGTCGGGCGAACAAGTATCACCAGTTGTAGCAAGCTCCCGCAGCCGCCGCAGCTGCTGTAAGAAGAACAAGAGTGGTACCAAGAAGAGTAGGGATGTGGGAGGCTCAGGAAACAAATGAACACAGAAAGGATTTCTGTTACTGGGAGTCGGATCTGTTTCAAAACCCGCCCCACTCGCATTGACAGCTTCACTGGTACGGTACTT